CTGCTGCACACTGTGTGGATATTTTCAGAGAACTATCTACAATGACTTCAAGAGCTCTGTCTTGAGTAGTTATAGCTCCATTTGTGCCCATCATTTTATACACATTGTTGGGATTATGTTTTCCAATATGCATTGCTTTGCATTTATCAACATTAAAATTCATCTGCCATTTGCCCAATCACCTAGTTTTGTGAGACCTTCTTGAAGATCTTCACAGTTTGCTTTGGGATTAACTATCTTGAGCAGTTTTGCTACCTCACTGTTTACTCCATTCTCCAGATCATTTATGAATATGTTGAATACGTTTGGTCACAGGATGGACCCTTGGGGGGACACTGGTAGTTACCTCTCACTATTCTGAAAGCTGGCCATTTATTCCTACCCTTGTGTCCTATCTTTTAACCAATTATCAATCCACGAGAGACCTTCCCTCTTATCCTATGACAGCTTACTTTGCTTAAAAGTCTTTGGTGATGGACTTGTTAAAGCCTTTCTGGAAATCTAAGTACACTATATCCACTGGATCCCGCTTGTGAACATGCTTGTTGATCCTCAGCGAACTCTAGTAACGCATGATTTCCCTTTACAGAACCCATGTTGACTCTCCCCCCCCCCACACACATTATGTTTATCTGTGTGCCTGACAATTCTGTTCTTTATTATAGTTTCAACCAGTTTGCCCAGTATTGCTCAGCCTCCCTCACCAGCAGACCCAGGCAACTAGCAAACACCCACCTGCCTCAGCACCTGCAAGCTGAAGTATCACTGATCCCACATGCACCCACTGGGCTTCAGCCACCTTTGTCACCTCTGACATCACCATCAACCGACCTGTCTACTCCCTGGACAGCCATCAGCCTCCCCCTTGACACCTCACTCCAGCGCCCCACTACCTGAAACATTTCAGCCAGCACTCTCATCCCCAGATACCTCCAGCCACCTCCCATAGCTGACACTTTCAAGTTGCATGTCCTCCTGTCTCCATTGTTTATGCTGACCCACACCATCGAACATTATGGTAACATGCAAAAATTGTGCCAATATGCAAATGATCTCATTAAATAGTTGTCATTCTAAGTGTCACACATTATTCACAAGAAACTACCTGACTCTGGGGAGGAGATCACATACATCAGGGACCACATACATCTGTGTTCCTTCTGGATCCATAAGAGTTGCAATCCTGCAGTTATACCACACTTCGCCCCTACCAGGTGCTTCAGGGCCCATCAAATCATATCCTGCTCCTTTTAGTGGTCCCAGAGGCAACTGATGACACAGACATTTGTTGCCTCCTGTGATGACTGTGCCAACGTCAAGGCATCATGCCACCAACTCTGTAGTCTCCAGCTCATGGTTACCCCCTCTTGATCCTGGGTGGTCATCACTGTAGACTTTATTGTAGAATTACCAAGGCCCAGTTTATAGCAGTTTTGATGGTAGTGGATCACTTCATCCTTTGGATGGCTTTTTCTCTACTGAACAGACAGTCCGGCCATGTAATCTGCTTCCTTTGCTTAGGGCCCCAAATCTCCTTAGTTAATCACCAAATCAAAATCTCTCTCTAGATTTCTTCAAAGATTACATTGTGCTCATTGGCTCCTTCTTGGCTTCTTTCTCTGCCTCTGAGGGTATGTCTACACTACACGCTTATTTCAAAATAAGCTATTCCAGAATAGTTATTCCGAAATAGCTTGTTTCAAAAGCAGGGTCAAGGTTTGGTTGTGCCAGGACAATGGGATGTGCCTGGAATACTACTGTTTCTCCTAAAAGGGAAAGGAAGAGGTCTGCTAGCAGGCACAGTTATACTGCGGAATGACCTTGGGGGTAGGTGTATGGGTAAAAGAGTGATCTGCTGGGCCACAGGGTCAAGATGTTGCTTGCCACCATACATGGGTAAGGTTCCTGTGCTGGTAAGCTGCCGGCCAGCAACAGCCTCCAACAATCCAGACATCCATGGAGATCCCCTGGCCAAATACCACATGCACAGCACTCCAGCCAGCCCTGGAAATCTGCTGCCCCAGTCAGCCCCAAGAAGTTGCTGCCTAGACAATGTGGTCCCCGTCGCCCTGGCTAGCCACAGAGAGCTGCTACCTGGGCAACAGTAGCTAGCTCCAGGGAGCCTCCAGCTGAGCATCATGACCCCTGCTGCTCCATCCTGCCCTGAGCCCTACACATGTTTCCTGCCCTGCCCTCCCCATTCCCTGTCCTAACTTCTGCACTCCCCACCCCTTGTCCTGAGCCCTCACACCTCTCAGCCTCATGCCCTGACTCGTGTACTCCCCACCACCTGCCTTGACTCTGCACCTACTCCCCCCAACCCTGATTCCTACAGCTCTAGACCCATTCCCTGATCCCCCCACATCCCTAAGCTCCTGTCCCAATTCCTGCATCCCCCAAACCCTGAGCCTCCTGCCCTGAGCCCCTCCTTAAGGACTCATGCAATGTTGAGTCAATGTGCTAGTAATCATACATAACTGTACTAGAAGACTTACATGGAATTGCTCAGGTCCTTCAGGGCAAGGGGCTGAGAGTGTGGTGGGATGCAGGAGTAAGGGCAGCGGCTTGAGGATGTTGGGGGGACAGGGCTGGGGTGTGGGAGGTATGGGAATCAGGGTTTGGGGGGAGGACAAACTCAGGGACGGGGGTACAGAGCAGAGGTTAGGGAGCTTAGTGCAGGGGCTGGGGAATGCAGGCCTTGAGTACCTGCTAAAAATGCTTTATCAATCAATAAATGCCACAGACAGAGCAGAAAAAAACCCAGAAGACAGTGGCAACTGAAGTTGTAAAACCGTCCTCCTAAAGCACTTGAACATAATTTTTGACTGTGGATAATCTAGTGATCTGTTGCAAATGGTAAAAACAGGCAGCTTCACAGCGAGTTCACTGTATAAACTGTGATTCTGACTGAAGGACATTGGTTATAAGGTATACTCTCAACAGCAGTAAAGCAACTAGAGGTATATTTTTACATTCGTCCATTGTATGAAATAGATGAAAACCAGAAATTAGTCTATCAGTCAGAGCTACAAAGAGCAAGCAGCTCTTTCTTTGATCATCCCATGATTTGCTTAGTACTGATATTGTATGCAAACTCTGGCAGCAGTATCCATCTGTATCAAAATAATGTTGATGTTTTAGCTCTCAAACAGAGATGCAGATCAAAAGCTAAACTGTCAATAGCCAGTAAGTGAAAACTTCCTTGGCATTTAGTGTTGAGTATTCCTTCTCACTAACAGCATGAATTGTATAAATGAAATACAGTGTATAGTAAAAAAGATAATGAACAACATGTATAATTCAATTATATTAAAGAAAAAAAGATGGGAGCGGGTGAGCATTCATGCGTTACATATTCTTTATCCAGTAGTTCTTGTCCCAAACTGGATATTTTGATTATTCAAATGTACAGCAAATCTTATTGCATCTCTTCGTGTGATCTAATCCTACACCAAGGTCACAAAAGTCAGCTGTGATGGTTGTTTTCAGTATTTATCAATTATTTAGAAGTGTATGCATAGATGGACACATTTGCACACACACAATACTCACATGGTCTTCAAGTGGTTAATACCTTAACCCTAGTTCTGGCTCCTGTGCTTAGCTGTAAGGATTGTGGATTTAAAAGGTAGATAGAAGACAAGATGCATAGGAAATAGAGGCAGTTTAGTGACAGATTGTTCTCTACTTGTGAATTACACAAGTACAAGAATTAGAAACTTAAGGAAGTTGTCCTTGTGACATTTTCCCCCGTGTTGTTTTCTTTCTAAGGCATTTACTTCACACCGTAACATTTTGGTCTGAAAAATCACTAGATCTCCTGAGGTCCAAAGAGTTTCTTCTTCTTCTCTGTCAACTCTTGGCTGCCCTTCACCGCAGTCTCTTAGCAGGAGTCAGGCTGCCAGGAATATTCTGCATTCACTGATTCTGATTCCTCTAGAACAGTGGTTCTTGTAGTGTGGTCCACGGACCACTAGTGGTCCCCAGTTGTCTTGCGGGTGGGCTGCTGCTCCCCATTCCCCCGCAGGACATTGCTTGCCTGGAGGTTTTCACTGCCGCTCCCATTGGCCGGAATCACAGCCAATGGGAGCACCAGAGGCAGTGTGTGGGAGCAGCGGGAGGCACAGAGTTAAGTAAGTGTTCCCCAGTCTCCCCATGCCCAGATCCTACACCCCCCACCTCATTCCTGCACCCTCCCTCCCAGACCCTCACTCCTGGCCTGCTTCTGCACATGAACTCCCAGTCAAACCCCCGCCCCCAGATGTCCTGCACCCATTTTGTCCTCATGGGTGGTTGGCTGGTGGTCCACAAAAAGGTCTGAGTTGAGCAGGGTGGGCCATGGGCCAAAAAAAATAGAGAACCACTGCTCTAGAACCAATACCATCAGAGATGTTGCTGCCTGTGAAATGGGAACTCTGCTAAGTTAATGCTAGCAAGGTCAGCATTAATGTATCAGGAAAGGACCTGGAAAGATGAGTAGGTACAAATGCTGGTAGTGCAGCCCAAACCGAAAAGTTTAAGGTCCTTATTTCACAGCCTGTTCTGATTGCAATGACCAGCCTGAGTCTGATCATTTCAAGTGTTGGGTGAAATATGATTTTATCCATGCCACTTTGCCCATCTTTATTTGAATTATAGATTACTCCCAGTGCCACAGAGCTGCAGGCACGTGTATAACACTTGGGTTAAAGAGAGAGAGAAAGAAAAGAATTCCTGCCTGTTTCATTAATCATGGCACAGGAAGGGCCAAATCCTGTAAAATGCACACTGACTTCTTGGGGTGCAGGCTTTGTTTCTGGTACCTGAACTAAATGTATAATTGCTATGCACTCTCTTTTGGATAATCACATGGAGAATATTGCTGATGCCATAAGCCTGACCCCCCCCCCCCCCCCCCCACTTTTTTTGCTCAATATCCTGTAAGTATTCGAGACAGAGAGTTTTTGAGAATTGCAGTGTTGAGTTAATGAAATCCACACTAGGCTTCATTCTGCAACCCTCTGCCAGGAAAAGAGGTTCAACACTCTGTGCGCTTAGGAATCCCATGCACAGGAGAGCGGCAGCAAGGCCACAATGGGGGTGAACTTGTGATTTTGTCACACTAAGAGAACCTGAAGACTGTCAATTTTTCTGGCCTTGCCAAAATATTGCAGAGCAGAATGCAGGTAAATGCCATGTATATTTTACAAATGATTGTACAGAATGCCAGGAGAAGAAGGCACATTTGACACTATTTGCCTCAATACAGTTTCTTCTGGAAGTGCTAAGTGAGCTGGAGAGCAGATGAGATCAAGGCACAATACAATACATTATTTACAGACCTCAGTGCAGACCTATTGCAAGACTTAAGTACCACCACATTGCCCCCTCTCTCTCTCTGAAAAAATGCACATGTGAAATTCTCTGAGTTGTTATAAATGCCTTACATCTTGAATACTAACTGAAACACTGACATCAAGTGGTATGTTATGGTTGTGACCAGTGATTTCTTTCCTAGCATTTTCATGGATATTGTTTGTGTTTGGTTTCGTTTTCTTGTATGCATTGTATAGTGGTTGAATATGGTTAGGTTTTTTTATGGTAACCTGGATTGACCTATTAGTATAGTATCTATCTTGTTTGTAAATAGCCAAGGAAGAAATTTTTTGTGATGATTTATTATTCAGAACAGTACCATTTTTATTCATAGAACCAAAACCTGAAGTAAATCTCCTTGAAATTACATAGGCTACAGATAACTGCTAGCATACAATCCTTTAAAAATAGTGGAAAGGATCAATAGCTTTCAGTGCTTAGGAACACAGAAGCATAGACATAGGTGAGAGGATTATTCTAAGAGGGGTGGGCGAGATTCTGTGGCCTGCACGGTGCAGGGGGTCAGACTAGATGATCATAATGGTCCCTTCTGACCTTAAAGTCTATGAGTCTATGAGACAGAGCTGTTGTGTAAATTCTGATGGAATAGATGGTCCCAGAAAATCAAGTGATCCATCCCCTGTCGCCCATTCCCAGTTTCCGACAAACAGAGGCTAGAGATAACAACCTTACCCATCCTGGCTAATAGCGAGTGACGAGCCTCTCCTCCATGAATTTATGTAGGTTTTTTTTTAAACCCTGTAATAGTCTTGGCCTTCACAACGACCTCTGTAAAAGACTACCATGGGTTGACTATGCATTTTATGAAGTACTTCCTGTATTTGTTTTAAACCTGGTACCAATTCATTTCATTTGATGATCTTATGTTTTGGGAAGAATTTTGTAGACCTCTATCATATCCCTCCTTAGTTATCTCTTTTCCAGATGAAGAGCCCCAATCTTATTAATCTCTCCTCATATGGCAGCCATTCTGTATCCCTAATAATGTCATTGCTATTTTCTGAACTTTTCCCAATGCCAACGTATCTTTTTTTGAGATGACACCCACATCTGCATGAAGTATTCACGATGTGGGCATACATGGATTTATATAGAGGCAATAAAAATCCAACGGGTTAATATGGTCATATCACTACAATACTAAGAAATCAAATAATATTTAGGGATTTGAAAACAGAGACTTTGAACTGCTTAATCCCATGACAAACACATTAGACAATTCATGCCAAAGTTTGAAAAAGTATTGATTAGGGTATATACACACACAAAAAAAGAGTTTTAAAAAGTTTTTTGATAATCAAGTGGTTATATTAAAAAAATCAAAACCCTTTTAGGGAGAGAGAGAGAGAGAGAGTGATCAGTTGGAGACTCTTATTTTGTTAAATGATCCTTCTAAGAGGAGAAGAAAAGGTTCGTTCTGCTGTTGAACTTTGAATTGGCAGCTTTTAATAGTAGTTACTCTTCCTGCTTTTGACAAAACAAAGAGGCACAAAAAAGAAGACGGTTGGCGGGGAAATGCAGGTTTTGTTGATGCTCTCAGGATACAAGGCTGCTGTTCAGTGATGAATGAATGTTGTAGGGTAGCAGGTCAGCCATGATGGTTGATGCTTTATCGGTGGCTCTTAATCTGGGAGGGCTAACCTCTCAGGGGCTAATTTGGCAGATGTCAGGGGGTAGGTAATAAGTTTAAAATACAATAGGTATTCTTTTTTATTCAACATAATGTATAAGAAAATGAAATATAATAAAAATGATTCATTGTAATTTTCTTTTTGTGTCTTGCCATTTTAAAAAGGAGGAGGAGGAATTTTGGTTTATTGGTTTAGCTTATGGGGTAGCAGTGCCAAAGAGGTTAAGAACCACTGCTCTAGATCCTGGTTCATTCCCCTGGTCTGGGATGTCATCTCTTATTATTATTTTATTAATAATGAAGTTTATAACATTACAGCATAAAGGAGAGAATGGGGACCCATTTAGAGTCCAAATAGAGAAGGCTGACACAGGGTGAGAAAAGGGATATAATACACAAGCAGAGTGAATGATATGATGATTAGTTCCACTTTGGGGGGGGGAGGCAAGGTAAGGACAGGAAAGAAGGTGGATTATGGGACAGAGGTAAAAAGGGTAAGAAGGACAGATGTGAAGGAAAGCTGAGGTGACGAGATAGGTGAATCTGGTCAGGTCCCTCTTCTTCACTGGTCCTTCTGAGTTTGGGCATAGCTGGATGAGCCATTTCATCTGGTCATCCTGGTGCCATGTCATGGTGAATCAGGTAAAAAGATAATGAAAGGGGCCAGGAAGCAGATACTAGAAATAAAAGAATATGAGAGAAAAGGGCAGACAGAGTAGGGGCTTTCACATGTCAAACTAGAGTCCTTACTGGTACAGAGGTGACATACTGATGCTGAGGCTCACCAACAGAGGACAGCATTTAGGGGGCATGGCAGAGATCTGTTGGGCTATCACCAAGGAATCCCCCCTACCCTCCAATTATTTTCCACTCGAATGCCTAGAGTCTGTTTCTTTGAGAAACCCCAAGAGGCAGATTGGAATCCTTTCCTTGATTTTGTTCACCAACTAAGCATTATTTCCAACACATCAATTTTGGCCCATTAATTTGTATTCCAATGTTATTTACCAATCATGATCTTAACACAGCCCTTAGGTTGCATCACAAGCCCATTTTCATTGGATGAATTCAGTTCTTTTGTACCTTTTCCATCAACATTTCTTGTCACTGGTTATTGTAACATTTGATGGACTTTCTCCCACTCTCCAGCAGTGGGACTTACAATTTGAGTAGACCCCAGAGGTGTAGCAAGGGTGTTATGCGCCCAGGGGCATGGGCAAAATTTGTGCTGCTGCCACCACGGCACAGCAGAGCCCCAAACCAAGCGCATGGCTGAGCCCAGCCATGGAGACGAAAATGGTCACTTAGCCATCCTGAAAAGTACTAACTTCAATGGAGGCAAAAGGCACCAGAACATCCCAGGAACAGGACTGTGTTTTGCAAAATAATTTTCAGATCTATATTTTTCTTTCTTTTTTTGGTGCCACTTTTCCTGGACTGTTACTATTTAGTTCCTTTTTTGACCTGTTCCTGGGCAAGATCTCACTTCCCTTACTGGCTTGCAGATGCTGCGTGCCTTTCACTAAATATGGAACATGCTGGAGTGCATTGTTTTTCTCCTAGAATTGATGCTATCATTGTTTTCTCATAAATTCCAAAACCTTCTGCAAACTCAACCAGATCTCAGTCCTTCACAGAGTTTCATTTTTTTAGGCTATGTCTACACTAGAAAGGTTTGGTGACAAAAGAGTTGTTGACATGCAAAAAATCACCAAAACTAAAAACTTGTCAAACATATGTTTCTGTCACCCGTTGTTCACATTTCATGGCCACATTGTTAGCTCCTCTGTCGACAGAAAGAGCAAAGCAATATGGGTAAGCACCCCACAGTGTCTGGCCTCACCTTCAGTTGCTAAGCACTGTGGGAATGCACAACGTAGCACTAGGCATTTTGGTAATGTGAAAAATATCCTGTCAGCCACTTCTTTCCTCCCCAGCTCCCCTGGGCTTCCGGCTTATTTTGGCACTACTTGAATGTCCTTGCTGCAAACTCCATCATCTGCTGTGAGAAATCATGGCTCCCAGACTTCTCTCCCATGATCAATGTGCTTAGGACATCATGCACTGCAGCAGAACTACTTATGCACTTAAGAGCAAAGGATTAGAACTCTGATGCAGATGACATGAGTGACAGAGACAGCAGCAAAGGGGCACTGCATTGGGCTGTCACAGAGCACGTGTGCACGGTAGAGCGTTGCTTTTGAACTAGGGAAACACCGACTACAGATGTGGGATGGCATGCAGGTGTGGGTTGAAGATGTGTAAAGCACATTTTCTGGAGCTGTGTGCTGAGCTGGCCCCTGAACTGCGGCACAAGGGCACCCGAATGAGAGCTGCTGTCTCAGTAGAGGTATGTTGCCATTGCTTCGTGAAAGCTGGTGACTCCCAATTGCTTCTGTTCAGTTGCAAATCAGTGTGGGGTAGGGAAGCCTATGATCAGGATAGCACCTATGCATGTGTGCAGGGCAATAAATCGCATTTTGATGGCTAGAACTGTGACTCTGATAAAAGTGAATGACATAGTGGCTGGCTTTGCTGACATGGGCTTCCCAAACTGTGGTGGGGCAAGTGATGGCACACATATTCCCACCCAACCTTGCCTCAGAGTATGTCCATCAGAAGGGGTAATTCTCAATGGTGTCCCAGGTGCTTGTGAATCACCATGGGCATTTCACAGATGTAAAAGCAGGGTGGTCTGGAAAGGTACGTGATGCACACATCTTCAGGAACAGTGGCCTGTACAGAAAGCTGCCCGCTGGCACTTTCTTTCCAAACCCGAATATTACAGTGGGGAATGTGGAAATGTCCATAGAGATCCTAGGTGACATGACTTACCCCTCACAGTTCTTGCTCATGAAGCTTTATACCGGGCACCTAGACAGCAATAAGGAGTATTTCAACCACAGGCTAAGCTGATGCCTCATGCTTGTTGAATGTGTCTTTGGCAGATTGAAAGTGAGATGGAGCTGTCTCTATGAGGAGGCTGCACCTTTTGGATGATCATATCTCCACAGTGGTGGCCACATGCTGTTATTCACGTAATTTGTGTGAGAGTAAGAGTGAAGCATTTGGCCATGGGTGGAACAATAACACACAGTACTTGGAAACTGTTTGAACAGCCAGAGACAGGGAGGCAACCCCATAACACAAAAATGTCAG